GGGGAGATGACTAGGGCAATAGACACGATTGCTCCGGAACGTCCCCTCTCAAGTAGCCGAGCTAAACCAGCTTCTTGGTTCACCGAGGAGCTGGCAGCGATGAAGCGAAAGAAGAGGAGACTAGAGCGTGTGTGGCGTTCGGACCCAAGCGAGTTAAATCGAACACAGTTTGTTGCCCTTCTAAGGGCATATGCCGTGGCAATAAAGGCGGCAAAGAAGTTGTTCTTTGCGGCCAATATTGCGTCCGCAAAGAACCGTCCAGCGGAGCTGTTTCGAGTTGTCAGAGGTCTATTAAATCCCACCACTTCGGATGGGAACCCTGACAACTCGACGGCCCGCTGTGAAGCATTTGCTCGGTTCTTTGCGGACAAAGTCGCTTTGATCCGTTCTGACCTGGACACCATGTTAACGGCAGTCTCAGAGGATGTAACACGAGCATCTGCTTATCCGATTTTGTTGGATTCATTTCAATTGGTGAAACCTGAGGATGTGGACAAGATACTTGGAGGAATGAGGGCAACCACATGCATCCTAGACCCCTGCCCATCCTGGCTTCTAAAGAAGGCCAGAGGGGGATTGGCCGAGTCGTTGAAGGTGGTGGTTAATGCCTCCCTTCAGGAAGGCAAAATTCCAGCCAGCTTAAAACAAGCTGTGATAAAACTGCTGTTGAAAAAACCATCACTGGATCCCACTCAATTCGTCAACTATCGGCCTGTTTCCAATCTCCCCTTTTTGGGCAAAGTCCTGGAACGTGTGGTGGCCTCACAACTCCAGGTATTCTTGGTAGACACTGATTATCTAGATCCGGCACAGTCTGGTTTCAGGCCGGGACATGGTACCGAGACAGCCTTGGTCGCCTTAGTGGATGATCTGCGCAGGGAGCTAGACAGGGGGAGTGTGTCCCTGTTAGTTCTGCTGGACCTCTCAGCGGCCTTCGATACCGTCGACCACGGTATCCTTCTGAGATGCCTCGCGGGAATGGGCCTTGGTGGCACTGTTCTGCAGTGGCTCAGGTCCTTCCTAGAGGATCGTACTCAGAAGGTGTTGCTGGGGGACAACTGCTCTACCTCACAACCATTGTCTTGTGGGGTCCTGCAGGGCTCAAAATTGTCCCCCATGTTATTTAACATCTACATGAAGCCGTTGGGAGAGATCATCCGGAGTTTCGGGGTGCGGTGTTATCTGTACGCAGATGACGTCCAACTCTGTCACTCCTTCCCACCTACTACTAAGGAGGCTGTTCAGGTCCTGAACCGCTGCTTGGCCGCTGTGTCGGACTGGATGAGGGCTAACAAATTGAAACTGAATCCAGATAAGACAGAGGCACTCCTGGTCAGTCGAAAGGCCGAACAGGGTATAGGGTTACAGCCTGTGTTAGCCGGGGTTACACTCCCCCTGAAGACGCAGGTTCGCAGCTTGGGTGTGATCCTGGACTCTTCGCTAAGCTTGGAACCCCAAGTTTCGGCGGTGTCCAGGGGAGCATTTGCACAACTCAAACTTGTGCGCCAGTTGCGCCCGTTCCTTGGGAAGTCTGACTTGGCCACGGTAGTCCACGCTCTGGTTACATCCCGGATTGATTACTGCAACGCGCTCTACGTGGGGTTGCCCTTGAAGACTGCCCGGAAGCTTCAGATGGTCCAGCGCTCGGCAGCCAGGTTGCTAACAGGAGCGGCACTCAGGGAGCATACCACTCCTCTGCTGAGCCAGCTCCACTGGCTGCCAATTTGCTACCGGGCACAATTCAAGTGCTGGCTTTAGCCTATAAAGCCCTAAACGGTTCTGGCCCTGCTTACCTCTCCGAACGCATCTCCACCTATGAACCGACCAGAACATTAAGATCGTCTGGGGAGGCCCTGCTCTCGATCCCGCTTGCGTCACAGGCGCGCTTGGCGGGGACGAGAGACAGGGCCTTCTCAGTGGTGGCCCCTCGGCTATGGAATGCCCTACCGGCAGACATCAGACAGGCACCTTCGCTGCTGACGTTTCGGAGAATGGTTAAGACCTGGCTTTATGAACAAGCGTTTGGTTAAGCAGTGCAACCAATCATAGGAAGACGGTAAATGGAACATAGGAATGGCACAAGGATTATGAGAACGGATCTGATTTCAACTGAGGCGTTATGTTATGTCTGTTTTGTTGATCTGTCTTGTTGATTGTTAACTGTTGTGGATTGATGCTGTTGATCCTGTTTGTTGCATTGTTATGTTTTAATTGCACTGACACTGTTTGATAATTGTACCATGTAAACCGCATTGAGTCGCCTGTTAAGGGCTGAAAAATGCGGTATAGAAATAAAGCAAATAAATAAATAAATAATAAATAATAAACACATTGTAAGATAAACTAGCCGAACTACTTCAAATCTCTTAAACTGCACTTTGCTCCAAAAGCTCCTAAAGCCATCTTGACTTCCAGTCTTAACCCTCAGTACCATATTAGTCATGGTCCCGGTTTTTGTCTCATTTGTTTATTTCATGTTTTTGTACCGCTTTGTTCTTTCGGGATGCACGAATTGGTACACCCTCTCCGTCACGGAAATATCAGTGAAACAAAAGCAAAGTGGGAATGGTAACCATTTGGTTGGCTGCTTTTCAGTGCTTAGCGTGCACAGATGTAGGCCCTGGAAGGGACTACACCAAAGCACCGAGCATCTCTTAGTCGGTGCTCGGCACACTCGGCTGTAGGTCCTAGCAGGCCCTGGCACTTTGCCAACAATGGGCCAAAAATATTTGGGGATTTTTTTCAGACCATGGATAAAAAAACTCATTTGGAAAGTTGCTCATTTTTGAGAGAGGTGCTCGCAAACAAAAACGGGGCCTTACGAATGAAACAAACGGGAACGGATAGTGATTCTGTACAAATGCACATGACTAAGAGCTACCATTTGAGGTCTCTTCTCCTTGTGTGCTACTAGATCATTTAACCGAGCATAACAAGGATGCACAGAAATCATCATAGACATACATCCCTTTCTATAACATCTATGGTTGCAGGCTTCCAATCTTACAATACAAGAGTGCACAACTGGCAATCCACCACATGCAAACCCTGACCATCCATTGCCTTTAATTTCTCCCCGTTTTCCAATGTCATATCTATATTTCTTTATGTTGTTGAAGGCATTCTTCAATATTGCGAAAATTCTTCAATATTGCTAACAGAGGAGAAACAAGCAATTTGTATCAGGATTGTGTTGGGGAAAGAGTAGAAGAAAGTCTCCTCACATCTTCCCAGTGGAATGCAATCCCACTCTGATAAACCCTATTCACCCACAGGCAGAAGTTTTAATTCTCAGCCCTTTCCCTTTTTACTAAACCAGGGCAAGCATTAGCAGGAGGCAAGCATTAGCCTGAATTCAATGCAGGGGCTGTGAGTCATGGTTGCCATTTTTTCAGGCTCTACTGGAAGGCTCTGCAAAACTAAAAACATTCCTGGAGAGGCCATGTGGCTTAAAGTGTACAATTTGCCTTCCCCCATACTAAACAATATAGACAGGGAAGAAGAAGGAAGCATGAAACTAATGTTCTGTTATTTTTGGCCTACAGTTCCCTTTACAATTCCCAACACGACAGAATTGTGTGGTGCTGTAGCCCAAAAACAGTCAGGGGAGAAAAATGTTCCCCAATCTTGCTGCATACAGTAGTTTTTTTTCTCCCTGTATCCTCAGGCTTCTGCTTAATTGCTCACTCACAAGTGTTTCTGCATATATGCTGTTGTTCAGGCATCATCATTTTCTCAGTCTAACAGCACTTCCATGTGGCTCGAGAATTACACTAGAAAGTATACAGCCCAAGCAGAATTAGACTAGGAAGTGCCTAAGTACCTAACCTACTCTTCTCACACATTCTCTCCCCCCACCACACCTTCCCAACTTCCTTCCACCAAGCACACCTTCATAGTGACCATACGTCGCATTTTTGAACTCAGTCCAGGTGATATGGCCATCACTATCCTTGTCGTAGTCCTTCCAGTTCTTGTTCACGTTCTCGTAAATATAGCGGTGCTGTGTATGCTTGATCCAATCTTTCAATTCAGGTTGAGTCACAAAGCCATCCTTATCCTTGTCGATTCGATCTACGATTTTCCTGCAGAGAGGATAAACATTGCAAAGACAGTTAAGGTGGCATCAAACTTCTATGTAACGTAAAGGCAAAGGTAAAGTCTAGTCGTGTCTGACTCTGGGGGGTGGTGCTCATCTCCATTTCTAAGCCGAAGAGCCAGCATTGTCCATAGACACCTTCAAAGTCATGTGGCCAGCATGACTGCATGGAGTGCCGTTACCTTCACACTAGAGCAGTACCTATTGATTTATCCACATTTGCATGTTTTCAATCTGCTAGGTTGGCAGAAGCTGGGGCTAACAGTGGGAGCTCACCCTACTCCTCAGATTTGAACCGCTGATGTTTCAGTCAGCAAGTTCAGCAGCTCAGCAGTTTAACCCACTGTGTCACTGGGAGCTCCAAAGGTAAAGGTTTCCCCTTGACATTAAGTCTAGTTGAGTCCAACTATAGGAGATGGTACTCATTTTCATTTCTAAGCCGAAGAACTTAGACGCCTCCTAGGTCATGTGGCCGGCCTGACTGCATGGAGCAACGTTACCTTCCCGCCGAAGGGGCATCTATTTATCTACTTGCATTAGCATGTTTTCAACTGCTAGGTTGGCAGAAGAACGGATTCAAACCTGTCTGTGGATTCAAACCGGTGACCTTCTGATCAGCAAGTTCTGCAGCTTAGCGGTTTAACCTGCTGCACCACTGCAGCCCCAACTACTATGTAATATAGGCATATTCATAGGCATGGAGGGATCACAAAGAAAGATGGTGAGAAATTTAACAATGGGAAGCAATGATCTAGATGGATAATGTTGCCTGTTTCACTGAAGGTCTCCAAACAGAATCTGGATAACCATCTCAAGAAGATGCTGTGGTTTCCTTAAATGAAGCAGGAGAACAGAGTATATGGTTTATGATTCTATGTCATAGGTATAACTTGTATGGCCATCCAAATATTTACACTACAACTACAAGCAATTGTATACCAAAAGAAATACTTTTCCAAGTGTTCCAAGCTAATCACTTCCCAACGAAGTATTCCCTTGTGCAGTGAGAAGCCAGAGCTTGAAAATGCTAGGCCATTAAATGTTAATCAAGGTGGCCAACTGCAACATTCACAACTACCTCAAACAGACAAAGAGTTTTTCTCCCTCCCTGGACATTCTACAGATATATAAACCCAATTTCTCTAGTTTCCAACAGATCTCACAACCTCTGAGGATGCCTTCCATAGATGCTGGCAAAACGTCAGGAGAGAATGTTTCTGGAACATGGACATACAGCCCAGAAAACTCACAACAACCCACTTTTCCAAGCTCTGTCCACATTTAATCACAGTGTTACTTGGCCTCACTTTCAGAAATAATATCTCTTTGTCCAGTTAAGTTTTCTGCTCTGCGGGGCAGAAAACTTTATGTCTTAAAGAAAGTAGTTTATATTGGTTGGATGGGTATATAAAAATAGAAATGTGGTCTGCTTTAAAGTACATTAAAAACTTGCTTAATGGGAGCAAACTGTTCTATTATAAATGAATTAGGACTCTCTGTGAGCTCTCAACCAGGTATTTTATAACCAACATCTTGAAAGGTAGCATTATTTCTTTCCTATGTGATGGGATTTATGCAACAGAAAGGTAGACTTGGGCTATTGTAGATCTAATTGTTTTAAACAATAATATCCACCAACTGGAACCAGGGCAAAATAATGGCTTTACTATAAGAAAGAAGGGAAAAGATACTTCTGAGCACAACTTTAGCTCAGGATATTGTGTTCACTGCCAGAACCAAGTTTGTGAATTCTTCCTCTTAAATATTATTTTTCACCGACTAAACATAGAGGTAAAATGCTTTTATACTATTGCTATTACTAGACAATTCAGAGTTGTAACACTTGCTTATCTCCCACCAATAATTTAGACATATTTATTGTTGAAGGCTTTCATGGTCGGAATCACTGGGTTGTTGTGAGTTTTCCAGACTGTATGGACATGTTCCCACTTCTGGAACATGGCCATACAGCCCGGAAAACTCAGAACAACCCATTTAGACATATGCCAGTATGACCAAAGTAAAGTAAAGATTTCCCCTGACATCAAGTTCAGTCGTGTCAGATTCTGGAGAGTGGTGCTCATCTCCATTTCTAAGCCGAAGAGCTGGCGTTGTCCATAGACATCTCCAAGGCCATGTGGCCAGAATGACTGCATGGAGAGCCGTTACCTTTCTGCAGAAGCGGTACCAATTGATCTGCTCACACTAGCATGCTTTTGAGCTGCTAGGTTGGCAGAAGCTGGGCCTAACAGTGGGAACTCACCCCGCTTCCTGGATTTGAACTGCCAACATTTCAGTCAGCAAGTTCAGCAGCTCAGCGATTTAACCCGCTGCACCACCAGGTGGCCTTAGTATGGCCAAACCTAATTTTTATTTACAAAATGCTATGCGGAATGCTTCCCGTCTTCCAAACTGTTTTGGTTTGATTAAAGCACATTAATTTTAATTGTTCTTTAACTTTTTCTTACTTTGTTAGGGACGCCATATTAACACTAATTTGAAGCCTCTCTAAATATACAGCACCAAAATGATCTTCTTTCTGTTTCAAGAAAACCTGGATGTTTGCCACTGTGTTTTATATTGCTGGAAGCCACCCTGAGTCCCTTTGGGGAGATGGGGTGAGTTATAAATAAAGCATACTACTACTACTACTACTACTACTACTACTACTACTACTACTAATAATAATAATAATAATAGAGCACAGCGAGTTAAACCCCTGAGCTGATGAACTTGCTGATAGAAAGGCTGGTGGTTCAAATCCGGGGAGCGGGGTGAATTTCCGCTGTTAGCCCCAGCTTCTGCCAACCTAGCAGTTCGAAAATACGCAAATATGAGTAGATCAATAGGTACCGCTTCTATGGAAGGCGATGCTGCTCCATGCAGTCATGCTTGCCACATGACCTTGGAGGCATCTACAGACAACGCCAGCTCTTCAGCTTAACTCTAGTCAGACACAATTAGACTTAATATCAAGAGGAAACTTTTACCTTTTATTATATTTTTATTATAGAATTAATGCAGTTTGGCACCACTTTAACTGCCATGTTGAGTCCCCCTAGGGGTGAGAAAAGCGGTATAGAAATACTGTAAATAAATAATGTCTTGGTCCCTATCTACACTGCCATATCATCCAGTTTCTGAATCCAGAAGTGGTTTCAAGCTGTATTAACTCTACAGTGTAGATGCATCCCTAGCCTAGTACTCACCCACCTAAGGGACTATAAGATTGCTTTGTTTCCACACAACCTAGGATGCAATATTATTCACTCAATCATTACTCTTAATGTTAAAAATGACAATGTTGGAATGCTAAAGGTTTTCTTCTTACGCTAGACGTTCTTTGCTCTCTTCGGGAGTCAGCTGGTCGAATGTCTTGGCCTCCTCTTTCCCTAAGAAGGCTTCGTGATCATACTGGAAATCTTGGCTGTCGTCGTGGAGGTGGTCGCTGAGGTCTGGGCTGTGATGGACACGCTCCTTCTTGTCAGGGGGTGGCTTGGCCAGAACCCACATGACGCATACTGTCAACATCCAGTAGGAACACAGGCTCTTCTTTTGCCACGTCATTGTGCACAACTTTGGGGAAAAAAAGGAACATGGTCAACATGCGAGAGTGGTCACAAGTTTCTCAACTTTGCTCCAGGTCAGCTTAACTCCTCTTCCAACCAAGGGTGCATCTAAACTGGAGAATTAATGCAGTTTGACACCACTTTAACTACCATGGGTCATTGTTATAAAACTGTGAGACTTGTATTTTGGAGAGGTGCCAATATTCTTTGGCAGACTCAGGATCCCATAGTATTGAGCCATGGCAGTGCAAGTGGCATCAAACCACATAAATTCTACAGTGTAGAGCAGGCATGGGCAAACTTCGGCCCTCCAGGTGATTTGGACTTCAACTCAACACCAATATTCTTTGGCGGACCTTGTAAAAATATCACCCCCAGGATTCCATAGTATTGAGTCATGGCTGTGAAAGTGGCATCAAACCACATTAATTCTACAGTGTAGATCAGGCGTGAGCAAACTTCGGCCATCCAGGTCTTTTGGACTTCAACTCCCACAATTCCTAACAGCCTACTATCTGTTAGGAATTGTGGGAATTGAAGTCCAAAACACCTGGATGGCTGAAGTTTGTCCATGCCTGCTGTAGATGCACCTTTATGGTGACATTAGCTCCAAAATGACCCCCAAGCAAACCAGCTACTTTCTTCCTTAGGTCTCTCTCCCACATCCAAGAACACAGAGTCCAGATCCCAGTGACTTTACTTTGATTTCCACTTACTTTGATTCTGTCCCAGCCAGACACACACGCACTCCACTTTCAAAGGGCACTGTAGTTTTTGATCCACCCAATCTTAAGAGAATTTGGAATTCCTGGTGCTTAATCTATTCTCTTCCACATATTTTAACCCTATCCAACCACTAAACTATCTCAATTCTAAAGGTCCCAGGCCAATCTGGGGGTGGGCGCGAGATGACGAAATGAAAGAGCCTAAAATAATCCTGCACCTGCCATTCCAAGGGCAAAACTGGCAAAAAAAAATTAGAAATCCAGTAATCCCAGCAGCAGCAGAGAACTAGGGCAGTTCCCAATTGTGCTGCCCAAGATACAAAATGTTCAATTCTTGGAGGCACCTAAATTAAAGTTGTCCCCAAACCCTTTCCAGAGAAAGCCACAGAGGAGCAAAGATTGACAGCAGAATCAGAACGCCGCATTACTTCCTGGACAGCAGGACAAAGCAGATCCGTCCGATGCCAAATTGCTTGGACAACCTGCAAAAGGAGCTTCTGGCACTAAAGAATGGGTGTACTTTGGTACTTCTCCACCTCCCCCTCCCGAAAAAAACCTCTTATTGCATTTTCAAATGACCCCTGCAACTATAAAACTCAATGTGCAAAACTCAAAAGCCAACTCCTCTCCACCAGCTCAGCGGAATGACTTGACTCTAAATGGAAGCAAAGCTATGATGCCAAACTGAAAAGAGAGTTTTCTGCCCCCACGTGGCAAAATCCCTTTAGAAAGCTGCTTTCTCTATGTAATCCTTTGCACTGAAAAAGGAGAGATCCAAGGAAACATACTGAAATTGAAACAAAGGGATGCAATTGAGGGACTCAGCTCAGAAAAAGGACCTTGATGGAGAACTAGGGCAAAAAGAATAGGGATCAAAAGCAAATCTTTGGCCTCAAAAGGAGTTATTGGTTGATACGAATAGGTCAACACAGACTCTAGACTGCAAATGATGCGAATAGGTCAACACAAACTCTACGTGTTTTGGACTTCAACTCATGGATGGTGATTTGACAAACCACAGAGCACTGAAGCATATTAAGGGCTTTCTTTTTGTGCACTTTCCTGAAAGTTTGTTGTCCGGCTGCTGCATTAAATGGTGTGTGTGAGGCCTCATTCTTCTTAAGGTGAGATAATAACAATAGTAATAAACAATAATACATAATGACCATGTTCTAGAGGCATTCTCTCCTGACGTTTTGCCTGCATCTTTTGTTGAGAGGTGATTAGATTGCTCCAGGCACTTCCAGGCTATCAAATGCTAATCAAGGTGGTCAGTTGAAACATTCACATCTAGCTCCAGCAGACAAGAGTCCTTTGTCCCACCCTGGTCTTTCCACACATATTTAAACCCATTTTCCTAGTTCCAACAGACCTCACTACCTCTGAGGATGCTTGCCATAGATACAGGCGAAATATCAGGAGAGAATGCCTCTAGAACATGGCCATATAGCCCGAAAAAACCTACAACAACCCAGCGATTCCAGCCATGAAAGCCTTCGACAATGCAATAATACATAATAATAATAAATTTATAATATTATATATACATAATAATAACTATATAGAGTAGTAATAATAATAAATACGTTATACAGCAAAAACAAAAACGTGACATGATTTTTGTACTGAGATTATAACTGCCACTTTCTAATTCGTTGTATCAATTAAATAGTCAGTGCATATGAGGTCTCATTCCTCTAAAGGTGAGATATTACTTATAATAGTAATAAACAATAAGTAATACATAATAAATGTATAATATTATATATACATAATAATATATAGAAATATAACAACAACAACAGCAACAACAACAACAACAACAACGTGACACAATTTTTGTTCCGGAATTATAAATGCCACTTCCTAATTAATTGTATCATAAAAACATGGAAAAAGTTTATTAAACTGCAAAAAAACTTTGCTTTTGAGGAACATCCTACAGCACATTTTGCTATAGTTTTTCTTTTTGTGCAGCCACAGAAACAAAGTTTCTGGAGTATAACAAAAGTTTCTGGAGTACAATTAAAGAGGAAAAAAACACTTTCAAACTAGGAACAGAAAAAAATCAAGTTTTGTTACATAGTGTAATAATTCAATTGATTGAGGTGTCCTATATGTCTGTCTTTGCTTATTTTTTGATGCCATCCTTCCATCCCACTGCCACAATGCACGCTCTGCTATTGCAAAACCACTATGTGCTAAATTGGTGACATGGACACAGAAGTCCATCCATCCAGTACATGGGCAGTTTACTCAGCCTTCCCGAAGCTTGTAAAAGTGCCTTTTGTGTACCTCTCCAAAGCAAAGAGATACAAAGCAATCCTTTCTTCAACCACCCATGACATGGAGTCCAAATGCAAGCTCGGCACCCGTGAGGATGCTTCACAACTTCATTCAATTTCCTCCTCTTTGTTCAAAGCACCAGTAGACGAAAGGCCTTGTAAAAATACCTCTCCCATGATTCCATAGCATTGAGCTTTGGCAGTTTAAAGTGGTTTCATACTATACTACTTCTATAGTGTAGATGCACACTTAGAAGACTTCTCATTAATCTCTTCTCTCTTTAGCAAGAGAAGACTATGGCCCTTGAAAATCTACAACTTCCAAGATTCATTAAAGCCTTGGAAGTCAAAGTGATATCAAATTGCATTAATTCTACAGTGTAGATGTACTGCAGGATGGTAGTAATTGATGTACCCCACAAAGTGGTTTCATGCTGCATTACTTCTACGGTATAGATGCACACTTAAAAGGTTTCTCATCCATGCACCTCTCTCTTTAGCAAGAGAAGGCTACGACCCTTGAAAATCTTCAACTTCCAAGATTCATTAAAGCCCTGGCAGTCAAAGTGATATCAAACTGCATTACTTCTACAGTGTAGATGCACACTTAAAAGACTTCTCATCCATGCACCTCTCTCTTTAGCAAGTGAGGGCTAAGGCCCTTGAAGATCTACAACTTCCAAGATTCCATACCATGAAAACCTTGGCAGTCAAACTGCATTAATTCTACAGTACAGATGTACTCCAGGATTATAGTAATTGAAGTACCCCAAAAAGTAATTTTTGCAAATCTCTAGGGTTACTTTCTCCTTTTCCCCCACGGATTCTCCCTACCTTTCCATCATATGCCCCAGAATTACCTCCCCCACAGTCGATTTTACCTTCTTGCCCCACTTGCTGCAGCAGCTCCAATCCCTGCAATGGCCCCTCTCTGAATACCGCCCCAGTTCATCTTCACTCTTGCAGTTGTCTCCCAGGCCACGCCCCTCATCCTTCCCGGAGCCAATCGGAGTCCGAGGATGACCGAGGGGCGTGGCCAAGAGGCCCTGGGACTGGCCAGTAGGCGCCACGTTGACACAAAAAAGTTTCATTCTTCCCACACTTTTTGCCCACAGATCCAGGCAAGGCGGGTGGGGCGGGATCTCGTTTTTGGAGGGGTGCATCTACACCAGTGCTTCTCAACCTTCCTAATGCCGTGACCCCTTAATACAGTTCCTCCTGTTGTGGTGACCCCAAAACATAACATTATTTTCATTGCTACTTCATAACTGTAATTTCCCTACTGTTATGAATCGTAATGTAAATATCTGATATGCAGGATGTATTTTCATTCACTGGACCAAATTTGGCACAAATACGCAATTTTGAATACTGGTGGGGTTGGGGGGGGGGGGATTGATTTTGTCATTTGGGAGTTGTAGTTGCTGGGATTTATAGTTCACCTACAATCAAAGAGCATTCTGAACCCACCAACGATGGAATTGAACCAAACTTGGCACACAGTTCTCCCATGACCAACAGAAAATACTGGAAGGGTTTGGTGGGCAGTGTCCTTTGGTTTTGGAGTTGTAGTTCACCTACATCCAGAGAGCACTGTGGACTCAAACAATGATGGATCTGGACCAAACTTGGCATGAATACTCAATATGCCCAAATGTGAACATTGGTGGAGTTTGGGGAAAATAGACCTTGACATTTGGGAATTGTTGCTGCTGGGATTTATAGTTCAGCTACAATCAAAGAGCATTCTGAACTCCACCAATGATGGAATTGAACCAAACTTGGCACACAGAACTCCCATGACCAACAGAAAATACAGGAAGGGTTTGGTGGCCATTGACCTTGAGTTTGGAGTTGTGGTTCACCTACATCCAGAGAGCACTGTGGACTCAAAAAATGATGGCTTTGGACCAAACTTGGCATGAATACTCAATATGCCCAAAAGTGAACACTGGTGGAGTTTGGGGGAAATGGACCTTGACATTTGGGAGTTGTTTCTGGGATTTATAGTTCACCTACAATCAAAGAGCATTCTGAACCCCACCAATGATGGAATTGAACCAAACTTGGCACACAGTTCTCCCATGACCAACAGAAAATACTGGAAGGGTTTGGTGGTCAGTGTCCTTTGGTTTTGGAGTTGTAGTTCACCTACATCCAGAGAGCACTGTGGACTCAAACAATGATGGATCTGGACCAAACTTGGCATGAATACTCAATATGCCCAAATGTGAACACTGTGGGGTTTGGGGGAAATAGACCTTGACATTTGGGAATTGTTGCTGCTGGGATTTATAGTTCACCTACAATCAAAGAGCATTCTGAACCCCACCAACGATGGAATTGAACCCAACTTGGCACACAGAAGTCCCATGACCAACAGAAAATACTGGAAGGGTTTGGTGGGCAGTGTCCTTTGGTTTTGGAGTTGTAGTTCACCTACATCCAGAGAGCACTGTGGACTCAAACAATGATGGATCTGGACCAAACTTGGCATGAATACTCAATATGCCCAAATGTGAACATTGGTGGAGTTTGGGGAAATAGACCTTGACATTTGGGAATTGTTGCTGCTGGGATTTATAGTTCACCTACAATCAAACAGCATTCTGAACCCCACCAACGATGGAATTGAACCCAACTTGGCACACAGAAGTCCCATGACCAACAGAAAATACTGGAAGGGTTTGGTGGGCAGTGTCCTTTGGTTTTGGAGTTGTAGTTCACCTACATCCAGAGAGCACTGTGGACTCAAACAATGATAGATCAGGACCAAACTTGGCATGAATACTCAATATGACCAAAAGTGAACATTGGTGGAGTTTGGGGGAAATAGACCTTGACATTTGGGAATTGTTGCTGCTGGGATTTATAGTTCACCTACAATCAAACAGCATTCTGAACCCCACCAACGATGGAATTGAACCCAACTTGGCACACAGAAGTCCCATGACCAACAGAAAATACTGGAAGGGTTTGGTGGGCAGTGTCCTTTGGTTTTGGAGTTGTAGTTCACCTACATCCAGAGAGCACTGTGGACTCAAACAATGATAGATCAGGACCAAACTTGGCATGAATACTCAATATGACCAAAAGTGAACATTGGTGGAGTTTGGGGGAAATAGACCTTGACATTTGGGAATTGTTGCTGCTGGGATTTATAGTTCACCTACAATCAAAGAGCATTCTGAACCCCACCAACGATGGAATTGAACCAAACTTGGCACACAGTTCTCCCATGACCAACAGAAAATACTGGAAGGTTTTGGTGGGCAGTGTCCTTTGGTTTTGGAGTTGTAGTTCACCTACATCCAGAGAGCACTGTGGACTCAAACAATGATAGATCTGGACCAAACTTGGCACAAATATTCCATATGCCCAAATATGAACATGGAGTTTGGGGAAAATAGACCTTGACATTTGGGAGTTGTAGTTACTGGGATTTATAGTTCACCTACAATCAAAGAGCATTCTGACTCCACCAACGATGAATTTGACCAACTTGGCACACAGAACTCCATGACCAACAGAAAATACTAGAAGGGTTTGGTGGGCATTGACCTTGAGTTTTGGAGTTGTAGTTCACCTACATCCAGAAGTACTGTGGACCCAAACAATGATAGATCAGGACCAAACTTGGCATGAATATTTAATATGCCCGACTGTGAAGGTGGAGTTTGGGGAAAATAGACCTTGACATTTGGGAGTTGTAGTTGCTGGGATTTATAGTTCAACTACAATCAAAGAGCATTCTGAACTCCACCAACGATGGAATTGAACCAAACTTGGCACACTACTTACATGGCCAACATTGAATACTGGTGGGGTTGGAGGGCTGTTTTTGAATTCTGGGAGTTGTAGTTCACCAACTCCAAAAAGGATGGGAAGGCTGAACAGAGAGATCTTCAGCCTTCTCTGTCAAAGGGCTTCCTAAGAGCATCAGAAATAATGTGTTCTCTGGTGGTCTTTGGCAACTCCTCTGAAACCCCCTCATTACCCCCCCCCCCCCAGGCCCTGACCCCCAAGCTGAAAAACACTGATCTACACTAACACAAGTTTCCCCCAAGTCCCAGAAACTTGGCAAGTGTCTTTTTAAAAAAGTAACTCATTATGTAACTCACTATGCCCCTCCTCCCTTTCCCCCCTTGGCATTCTGTTGCCTGTCACTGACCCTGGCATTGCCCGTTACTTATTTATTTATTTTCAAATACTAAGAGAGTCGCTTTCAACTTGCCTGAAAAGGAAGTAGAGCACTGCCACTTGGAATGGAAATAGAGCTGCAAGGTTCTGGCTCCTGAATCAACGGGGCAGTTACATTCAAAGATCTAGCAGCCTTCCAACTGCCATAGACAATCCAGATGATCTGATTTGAACTGGATTATATGGCAATGTAGATTCATATAATCCAATTCAGAGCAGATAATGTGGATTTTCTTCTTTGATAACTTGAATTATGTGGCAGTGTTGAAGTGGCTTTGGCTGTATTATCACTATATGTAAAGTGTGTAGAATCTTTGGGCTCGGGTTGCTGTGAGTTTTCAGGGCTGTATGGCCATATCCCAGAAGCATTCTCTCCTGATGTTTCACCTACATCTATGGTAGGCATACTTAGAGGTTGTGAGGTCTGTTGGAAACTAGGCAAGCGGGGTTTATATATCTGTGGAATGTCCAGGGAGGCAGAAAGAACTCTTGTCTGCCTGAGGCAAGTGTGAATGCTGCAATTGGCCACCTTGATTAGCAGTGAATGGCCTTGCAGCTTCAAAGCCTGGCTGCTTCCTGCCTGGTGGAATCCTTTGTGATTGGTTGAAAGGAAGAAATTGTGGCAAAAGCTGTCATAGGCTTCCATACATCAGAGGAAGAAGACTAAGGATGCATCTGCACACTGTAGAATTAATGCAGTTTGATACCGCTTTTAATTATGCAGTTTGATACTGCTTTTAATTTTAGCACAATGCTATAGACCTGAGAGAAGCCTCCCACAAGGATGGTAAAACATCAAAACATGCAGGCTTGCCTCGGCAATGTTCTTGCAGATGGCCAATTCTCTCACACCAGAAGTGACTTGCAGTTTCTCAAGTTGTTCCTGATGCAGAAGAAAAATGCTACGGTATTATGGCAATTGTAGTTTTATTACAACTCCCAGGATTTCATTGCATTGAGCTATGGCTGTCAAACTGCATCAAATCTGCGGTGTAGACACACTCCTAGATCAACACTCAAATCACACTGGCTTTCAGATTCCTTTTTCTTATTGCCGCTTACGGTGCATCTGTTCTATAGAAGTAATGCAGTTTGACCCCGCTTAAACGGCTGTGACTCAAATGGTAAGGAATCCTGGAAGTTGTAGTTTAATAAAGTATAGTCTTCTCTCACTTAACTACAACTCCCAGGATTCCACAGCATTTGAGCCATGGCAGTTCAAGTGGCATCAAACTGCATTAAGTGTACCATGTAGGTGCATCATTAGTTTTATTCAAAACAACAAGAGCTGAAATGAATTTTCCCAGAGTCAATATATTATTTTGAGATATCCCTCCTGTTAAGAATAATATTCAAAGACAATACCTGGCCAATGTGTTGTAGCCTGAATATAACAAAAGCCTGTTTCCTCTTTGAGTGCTCCATCAATGTTCAGCTACACAAATGATCAGCCACTGCCAGAAGAGACAGAGAGTTTCATCTATGCTGATGATTGTGCCATCACCACTGAAGCAGGGAACTTTGAAATGGTTGAACAGAAGCTCTCCAAAACTTTGGGTACTGTTGCTGCCTATTGCAGGGAAAACCAGCTGATATCTAATCAGTCTGAAATGCAGACATGTGCTTTTCATCTTAAGAACAGACAAGCACCTTGAACTCTGAGGATTACTTGGGAAGGAATCCCACTGGAGCATTGCAGTACACCAAAATTCCTGGGAGTCACCCTAGACTGTGCTCTGGCTTATAAGAAACACTGGTTGAATATCAAGCAAAAAGTGAGT